TTCTTCAGGTGATATAAAAGGCTCGGTTCGAAATTCCAACAAATATCACCTGAAGAAAGCCGGACCGTACAACGGCCGAAACGCTCTGAATATGAGAATAAAGATGAGGAAAACATCCGAACATTGTAAATGATGTATATAAAATAGAAACGCAGTCAAACATGACAATCAGCAGTAGAAAACATCAGCAGGTAAATTAGGTTTTCGGCTCCAAGTTCTTCACAGATTAAAGCGTTGGTTTGTGAATTTGATGACTTAATAATTGTGAGTTCAATCCCTGGGCCGGACAGTGTGTAGTTGGAGGAAACGGGCGAGCAATAACTGAACACGACTAAAAATAAGAACTAGACGAGATACCCCGAGACATGAACAGTGGAACGAGAACAGCTTACCCAACTTAGATTAAATAAAGTCTTCAGTTCCTATATACGATCCATTGCTAAAGATGCAGGCAAAATGATCGGCTCCATGTACTTGCTCCAGTAAGTAACTGACTCCTCATGATATTCCCCATCTTTATAAGTACCAGATCAGGCCGAAAATGGAATACTGTTGCCATATTTAGGCAGGAGCTGACCGGACCTAACTTTCTAGTTTTGATTTTTGAGTTTTTTAGTTTTTGAGTTCAAAAAGTCTCCGAGTTCTTGTTGGCGAAGTATTATTTTCCAACCTCTCTCTCACAGGCGGGATATGGCGAATGTCTCACCGCTTTATCGCTACTACCATGGAAAGTGCACGGACAAACTGCATCTCCTGGTTTTATCAGGTTTATCCTTCACGGTTAGGACACACCATGCCACTTACACAGTAAAAAAAAATCCCCCCCCCAAAAAAAACACCCATTCCTCTGTATTCCTTCGGCGAGAAGTAAGTTCCACCCAGTTTCTTTCCGCGAACTACTGCCTTATAGAACAGACTCCCAAGAGGATGTTTCCCTGATCACTACAATCTTAACCTGTTCAAGTACAGAGTCAACCGTTACCTTGCCCTCCCATCCATATAAACTACCCCTTAACCTAATCCTCTACCTCGAGTGGCCCCCGGGCCTTGTAGAGAGTGAAGCTAAAAAAAAGTTCGAAATTCCGTGTAGGTTACTCGGATTGATATACACCTGATGAAGGTTTGAGGACACAATGGCCGAAACGTTGTGATAACAACAACGAAGATGCGGAAAATAGGCTGCGTTAAAATAAAAGTGTGGAATTATTCCCAGACATTTATTCATGAACTATACTTCTTGACTTTTCTTACGTTCATTACAACACCTCAAAGTAAGACTACCTTGGCAGACTCTTGGACCTTAATTCAGTTGTGCATTCTTGGAAGATAAGTGCGAATTTGTAAACAATGACAATTACTACTAATATTACAAGGCTCTTCCCTTCTCTGAATTGAGCTCTCTCAGTCATTGGCGTGTTAATTCACAGAATAAGTACGTAAAAATTCGCCTTTCCTTCAGTCGTGCGCCTATGGCTTAGGGCAAAAATATCCGACTACTACCAGATCAAGCGGGTTCCTGTGGGTGACAACGTATATTTATATGTATGTATATAAACTTAACAATGTAAAATCTCTAATGAGGGCGAAGTACTTCTAAGACGTTTATTTATCTCTTATGAAATTAAGTAGACTAACATTTATCAAGATTCTTTTAAAATATGTTTTAACTATGGAAAAGTCTTTTCTCAAAAATCCCAGTAAAACTATTTTTTTCTCTTTTTAAAGCATTTTGGGTACAATACCAAATATATTTGCATATACCATATGGATGGTCGATCATTCCTTTTTACAACAATATGCATATTATGAGGAATTGGACAGAACATCATTAAATAATAGCTAATATAATGACTATACCCTTACACTTTAGCTAGCAAAAATGTGGCCAAAAGTGTATGTAAAATAGGTTATTTTGTGGACCCGTAAAAAAATTAGCCTCCGTGAGTTTCTGACACATGAATTTGTCTTTTTAAATATATAGGCGGACCTTTGTGACATTAGGGGTGTCAACCACACAAAAACGTATGGATTTCATTTGCAGTTACTATAAGGAAGATGTCTTTTAGTTTTAGTCAATTGTTTTATTACGGCTGGTAATTTGGAATGACCATCGTCCCTATACAGTTCATTTATGCACCCTCCCTCAAAATAACAAGAATACAGTGACATATGTGCTGGCGTTATTTTGAAAAAACTAAAGTTCTGCAATAAAAAATATCCCAATCCAGGTACTTCTCACTCCTGTTGGAAGAACTTCTTCCTGATTAACCATGTCTTCAGGGGTGTAGCCGACCTCATCACGTTTGGGCAGTTTCGGGTTACTGAGACTTAGTTGGTGGTTTTGAATTCAAAGTTGTCCATCGAGGCCGGTTGTCACCCACGGCTATAGGACCCAGTCTATTCTGCAATTTACCCATGGCTAACAAGAGATGGATTCATACCTCTCCCAAGGGTATTTGCATTTATATGAATGTAATGAACTCGACGGCTCTCCGATTCCTCAAACCAAGCTTCTAGCCATTACTCCACCATGTTCCCTAAATTAAAAAAAATATATTTCACAGTGGATTTGCAGCTCAGATTGAGGAATCAGAGTGCCGAGTTCGAATACCAGTCGGATCAATTACATTCACTTGCGTGCTAATACCCTTGGGAAAGGTATGAATCCGCCACTTCTCCCCCCCCCAGATATGGGTAAATAACAGGACAGACCGGGTTCTATATCCTTGGATGGCAACTGGTCTAGCACAGAAAGAAATGGCAACCTCGTCAGTCATGTATCGAAAGATACATGATCGCCTAAGTGTGTATCATGCATTGCACATAACTGACTGATTTTATTTAAAAAAGAAAAACTGTATATTAAAGTTAAAAAGTTAAAATATAATTTTTAATAATTTAAAAAAAAAATATGCTGACATGCAACATTAGTCGCTGTCTTTCTGGATGCTGTTCTTTTATTGTCCTTTTTCCTCTTTTTCCTCACTAACGATTTCTCATTTTCTCTCACTTTCTGTAACTCTTTACGTCTTCGTAGCATTATCACCTTGCTTGGTGTGAAATGATTAAAAAGAAAGCAAAAACGACGAGTCTCATCGTAAAAAATAAAAAAAAAAAGAAAAAAAAAAGAACTACATCCTCTTTTCTTTTACAATACCAAGACTTGTGATTAAGTATATGTGACGAAGAACAAATAAAACGCTGGTTTTATTTTCCTCTACGTTATGACAATTATAAAATATTTTTTAAATAAATGATTTTATCAGGAATTATTTCTAATTTATTTTTTAATTAAAATCGTTTGTTGTTCGTTTTAAATTATAACCACTCCCATTTTAAAATATCTAAAATAGATTTAAGATAAATTAATCTTTTTCATTCTAACACTTTAAAATGACGTCAGCGTATGCGTCACCACAGTTCTCTTGATTCTGCATCCTTTTCAAAGTACCGCTGGGCAAACATATATTTAGAAAAATTATATTTATTTACTTATTTTTGTACTGCCTCCCGATACGCATCCATCTCGCTCACGAGCGACCGTACCTCAGACAGCCGCATAAACGCCTTACGGCAATCAAGACTCTGAAGACAAAGTCTTTTCATCAGCAGGTTTATTGAAAATCAAAAGGCGTTTATCAAGCTGTCTGTAGAACGCATGTACGCGAGACGGACGCGTATCGGTAGGCAGTACGTTGGAACGGTAATGCCATCGTTGCGGTAAAGGGTAGAATTAGGAGGATAAGAAAGTAGTAGGTATCGCGTGCTTTATTGTATCCATTTCAGTAATTACTAAGGATGCCACAGTAAGCGGTGTCATAAGTGGCAACTGATCTAAAATGTACCGAAATAAAAAAAAAGTGGGGTGAACAAGGAGGAAATGAAACAATAGAGGTGCTATAATAGCGTGGTAACAGAACAATTTTATTTATAAAAATAATTTTAAAAAAAAACCTTAGTCCATCGCTTCTGGCACTGAACTACGCGGGGAATTCCATCTGTAGTGGCTTCGAGGCTCTCAACAGTGGGGAGTTCAACCGAGAGACAGTAACTACAGAGAATTTCCAATTCGCAGGCTAGATCTGTACAAATGATTAAATTACTCGCAATATACCGTGGGCAGTGATCAGAAGGAACCGTTGTCAACACCTTGACAACTACCAGGGCGAGAGATTCCACCGATGAAATCAGCGGCCACGTATCTGTGACCAAGATGAATTTTGAAGTCGGAGGACATCGTCTTTGGCTTGGCCTGGAGGAGAATGGGCTCCGCCAGGTCTGCTTGCCCAAGACACGCTACACATGAATGAAAACTCTAACTTTCAACCTAGATATTAGCAGACAACCGAGACATGTGGAGGGAAATGGTCAGTTGCTCTGTTGATCAGCGACCTTACGACCACAACAGGTCATGAGGCTGATGACGATGGTGATATTTATTTGCTTCTACGAAATTATGTTTGACACAAGGTCAATTATTCGATGTAGTTGGAATTCATAAAAATATCCTCATGACTGAACATCTTTACATTTATCCGAATGTGAACTGTCATGTCTGCGTACGAGAGGTGTATATGTGTGTGTGCTTGTGCACATACGTGGAATCCTCAATGAGGATCAAATTTCCTATTAACGTCTTGCTAGCTCTCTCGGACCATTGTACTATAATTAAGGCTATTTTCCAGTATCATAATGATTACTGAGTATACTAATATACGCGGGAAGTGGAGATAGAACGAAAGGGAGAGAGAAGCATATAGTTAGGCAGACACTGTAAGCATGTGTTTGAATATATTAAGTTTATTAGGACTGAATAAATATTAGAAAGGAAGAAAATAACTGTATAATGTAAGCTAATGTCTATCCTTTTATACGGCAGTTACAGCTAGATCATTCTTTTCAGAAATGAAAAATGGAAAAAAGACTTGAAACAATCGACAATCGACATTTTCTACCGACAAATGCTGACAATTCCTGGAGCAGAGCGTGTTACGGAGATTACGGCTACATCACATTGGAACACCAGTTCCCGTACGATCACCGAAGTTAAGTAACATCGAGTCTGCTCAATACATAGATTGGTGACCGCTTGGGAATACCAACTGCTGTAAGCTTGGATGTCCGGGTAGTATAAAGGGATTACGGCCACATCATGTTTAAATATCGGTTCCCGTATGATCGCCAAAGTCTGTCGTGACCGCATGGGAATACCAGGTGATGTAAGCTTGAATGAGTGTGTGATACGGCCACCACATTTGAACATCTGTTCCCGAACGATCACCGAAGTTAAGCAACGTCGAGCCTGATCAGTACCTAGACGGGTGACCGCTTGGAAATACCACGTGTTGTAAGCTTGGATAAGCGGGTAGTATAATGGATAATGGCTCGGAATTGTTAATTGGAAAGCCGTTTTCCAATTTCAGTTGGGTTCGTTATATACGCGCAGATACTGTTAGGAAAGGTATAAATCCACACTCCTCCCCCTTCAGCTATAGGTTAATTCGTAAACTCGTATCAATGAACTATTGTTATGAATTATTTAAAAAGAAAATCTTAGTCTAAACATTTTTGATAAGTTGTAAAAAATGAATCAGTCAAATCAAACACGTTATGAATGAGAATGTTTTCAAGTGAAATAGGAAGCACAAAGAAAGTGTTGCAAAGAAAGTAATGAATACGATTAAATTCTGGAGACACATAAGGGAGTAGGAAGTCAACGAATGTGAGAAGAACAAAGAGTAACCTGCTTGACAAGTTCAGCAAATGGATTGTGACCGAGAGCAACAAGAGACAAGAATCTCTGGAGGGCAATTACCATTCACGTTCTGAATGGACATGGTATATACAGAAAAAAATTGTGACACAAACGTAGTACAGGGTTCGTGCAGTTTTTACTGTTTAACTTGACACGTTGAAATTTGTGCTGAGGATTTATCGCTGGAAAATGCTCCACAAAAACAGAGATCAAATGAAGAGATATGCAGTGGAAGCTCGAGTACTTCAGAGTTGTTCGGAGATGAAGATGGGTTCGAATATAACGTGGCATGTATGATATAACTATAACTTAACCCATTCCCAGCCAATTAGTTTCGAACGTTATGTTTTGGACGTGTTTATTCGTCCGTGTCTAAAAAAGACACTTTCGGTAGAAACGTATATACACGTACATACCGGCGAAGGTATTAGCAAAACAAAAGAACTTATCGCAATATATGAAAAATTAACTGTCTTACAAAAGTAAATATTAATTTGAAATGTTTAAAGCTCAATAAATTTTATTTTCAATTGTCTTTCTTATTTTCGCTTACTTTTCGCTGTTCTAGTTTTTTTTAAAAAGGCGTTACTTGAAAGCGATTCTACCGTTGAATTCTTTTGTGATTCATTAATGTCTTCCTTTATCCATTTTATTAAGTCATCCGAAATGAGAGGATTCAATTGATCATCTTCAAGATTTAGTGTTTCGTTCAGATTCTGCCATCCTTTTTTGTTAATTTGAAAATTCAACGAATTGGAAGCTTCGTCCATATTTTTAGAATAATCTCTAATTTCTGACGTAACGTGAGAGAATTTATATTCCTTTTTCTTCCAGTTGAAGTTCTGTGCGAGAAATTATTGGTTGAGAAATTTCATGTTATCTGCGAACAAAAGAAAAATGTAAGAATGTAGTATATTCCTACATCTAAATGGCAACACTGATATATTCAGATATGAGGACTTCTACTGTACTTAATAATCGACGTGACAGATAGGTAACATATTTAAAATACCCAAAACATATGCTGAAAATTATTTGCACCACCATAATTAGTTACTTATATGTGAGGTTTCCACGTAAGTTGAAAAAATCTACTGAAGTAAATGTTCCATTTTGGGGGGAAAAGCATTGTGATGAGCGATGATTAGTGGATACTTTATAACAATATGCTAGAGACGATTGGGTAAGCGAAATAAATCACCACTAACTGTACCAAATGGGCAATGTTGTTTTATAGAAATTAATACCGCGTATAAAGAAGAATTAAAAAAGAGCTCCTTCCAAATTCAAAGAAGTACTGCTCCAACTCCAACTCCAACAAATACTGCTTCAAATTGAAGTCTGCGATTGACGTAAAGGCTATCATATCAACCAGTTAACATCGCACATGAATAAGTAGAAAGAAATCATTTTTTATACAAAATTAATTTTATTATTTCTAGTGGAATGTAACATTATTAAAACGTTTTTAGGTATTAATTACGATCGAATTCTGAACTCTGTTGGCAAAAATATGCAGCCGTCCTAAAATTAATGCAACCGCACAGAACTGTTTATTTCATTCCATTAGCGTGTTCGGAATGCAATTACGTATTTTTGCTCTGAATTACGAGTCAATCAACCAAAGCAGAATCAAATTAGAACAATAGGAAGCTGTGTCTAGGATTAGATTATTTCTTCTATCTGACAGTGTATCACTTATAGAGCATTTCAGAGTTTAATTGGGGGAACTTACAAAGAGGGAATTTAGGTTCCTCAGAAGCTTTCGCTTGAGAACCTAAAACAAAGTTCCATCATCTGCAGCAGTCTTTTCACCAGGAATGCTAACTTATCATTTTGGCATCACATTGTTAGATGTGATGAAAAATGGGTTTTGCATGTCAAGAGAAAAGGAAAAGGAAAAGGAGAGTAGTTATCATAAAATGAGAAACCCGTGCCAACACCAAAACCAAGACTCGTCTACAGATGCTCTTGCCTTGTTTCTGTCGGAATAGAAAAGGTGTCGTCCATTACGATCTATTGGAATATGGGAGATGTTTACAGCGAGCAACCTGATCGGGTAAACGAAGCACTTCTTTGGTGAACTGAAAAGGTGTTATTCCCCAGCATGACAGTGCAAAGACATAGACGACAAAAAAAATCCAAGATCGTTATGATGGAAAGTTCTTCCACATCAATACTCATTATTACTTACCATTATTATACTCACTATTACTCACCATTACACTTCCACATCCATACTCTCCTGATTTATCACCTATAGATTTTCATTTGATTTTATTACATTTATGAAGTGCCAGAACATTCAGAAACAAAGAATTTGAAAACCGTCTTTCGAACTTTATTTTTCGAAAAGCTATTTGATGTCGAATTGAAAAATTATCTTTCTGTTGGACTGCCGGCGTTGAAAATAAAGACTTAACTTAAATTTGTTATAATGTCGTTTCAGGTATGGTTTAGTTTGGTTTATTTTGTTTTACGGCATAATGGGTTATTTAATGTAGACAAGATTTTTAAGATAGCTTCATATGATTAGAATATGTATTACTTGTAAGTAATCAGTTTCTAGATCAGGTTTCATTAACGTATTTCTGTAAAGAGGGCTTTTGTCGAGTGTCAAATCTATTGCTGGTAATATTTTTTCCAAAAATGGATTGCTGATAATTTAAAAAAAATAATGTATTGCTGGTAATATTTTTTTAAATGTATTGCTGGTATTTTTACTATAAAAATCTATTTTACCCAGGTTAACTATTTGTCCATAGCGGGGACCCTAACAGGTGCGACCATTCCAGGTCAAGGTAGACCTGGGAACAATTGCAATTCAGAGTTGGTTCCACGTTCCTTGAAACGGATATAGTTTATCGCCATAACAAGGACGGTCCTTTCTGGTAAAATGTAATTATTTTCCGAAAACTCTAATATATAAATAAAGTATATTTAAAATCCATTATTGATTACTATTTTTAAGTAAGAGATTGAAAGATAAACATTGTACAGGATTTTAAAGTTAATTTTATAAACTTATAGATGTCAGTATACTAACGTTTACTTTAGAAATGGCACCCCACGAGGAATAGCCCCCTTCCGAATTGAAGGCACATATTATTTCTTCCCACAAACAAAATAACGGCTACAAAAAGAAGCTTCGAAATAACAAGTGATGTTGTGCAAAAAGACTGTACAGACATAACCAGGTTGACTGTGCAAGCTGACACCGCGTTTTATTAGATGATTGGTTGTTGAAGACCCGAGAAAAATCGACTGCAGATGTTGCTAATGAGGTAAAAAAAAGTATGTTTTATGAATGTTTCTACTACAACAATGAAACACTCTGAACAAGATCGGCTTACATGACCGATGACTGCGTAGAAAGCCGTTACTGAAATCGAAACACAAAGGAGACAGTTTAAAGTTTACACCAGGGGATAAGAATACACTTTCACTGTGTTAGGACAACCTTCTGTGTTTAGTTGAAAAAATATTTGGATCTGATTTCATCCAACAAGTTTAGCGTCGTCATGACAAGGTGTACAAAGAAAAGTGTTTAATGTAAAAAATTGAGCCAATCAGCCCTCCTATATGGCAGTGAATACTGGACAATTTCCTAAAAGGGAGATTGTTCAACATTCACTGCCAGAAGTGATGAAAAAGAGACTTGAAGCAACAAAAACGAGAATACCATGTAAGCAACGATGAAATCTAAAAAGAAAAAAACGGAGACAAAATGGACAATTATAACTAACATCAGAAAGAAAGAGTTGAAATTTCTAGATCATATAATGGAGAAAGAGGGCTTGGAAAAAATACTTGATCAATCAATGGTTTGCTTCTCCAGTTTGGTAAGAGAATGTTTCAATGTTTCATCTTTACAGGAATCAGATTAGACTATTATTGAAGTCTTGCTGATTTATCAGGAAAAGTACAACTTGGCTTATCTGATAGACCGACTCAAGAGTTTCGCGTTGAAAGATCATCAAGGCTACATGTTTGACAGATTTATTGAACATCAGGAAGAAACATTTGAAATTTATAGAGCACATAATGAAGAAAGAGGGCTTAGAAAATTTGATACTCACAAGACTGCTCAAAGGCAAGACGGACAGTGGAAAACAACGCATGACTTATCTGGTGAGCTTGAATAAATGGATGGCGGAAGAAAGTTTAGGGAAGATAACAAAAAGACAAAATTTATTAAGACCTACAAAGAGCAGGAAATTGTGGAGAGCTATGATCGTCTACATCCTGAAGTGATACGGCACATAGAAGAAGAAGAAGAAGAAGAAGAAGAAGAAGAAGAAAGGTAACTTCATCATTCGGGGTTGTATGCGTTTCAATGGCCCAGATGTGTTAAATTTTACATGTACCGAATCATGAATAGTAAACATTAATGTAATATATATATATATATATATATATATATATATATATATATATATATATAGAATACGAGTGGCCAGCTATATATATATATACCCTGTCTAATAGGGTGACTAGCCAGTTCCTATTGCAGACGCTCGCGCAGGTACATTTGTGTTTACTCAACACCCACAGAGTCCACCTGTCGTTTATACTGCAACAATGCTGACCAGACTTT